CTGCTGAACGTCATATGATTTCTTCATGGGAACAAGTAAGTGTTGCCCTATTGAATCCTCACCTCCCAACAAAGGGAGGTTAACTCAAATGCCCCTGAGAAGGAAAGATTGGACAGGAAACCTATTCTTATCTCAGGCCACAGCCACCTTCAAGGTAGAGTTCACCTTTCTCTCTGTTCCTGTTCAGGCCATTTAATACTCCCTTCCATTCCATGCCATCTCCCCAACACAGAGCAGCTCCTCTGAGCCTGTCGTATGGAGGCAATGGAACATTTGAAGTTGTATATACAACAAAGCTGAAATCCAGCAAGGAAAGGAAGAATTAAATGTTAATAAGTGTGCGGGGCAGAACGTGGTTAAATGTTGCAGAGAAGTATCAATACTAACCAGATTAATAACGAATGCTTTCCAACTCTCCTCTGAACTTCCATTCATTCATTTATTCAGTAAACGTTTTAGGCCCCTAAAATGGGCCAGGCATTGTGCTTGATGTTGAGTCCTGGAGAGTCAGTGATAGTCAAAAAAGCACAGTGTCTACCTCTTGATCTTACTGTCGAAGTCCTAGTATAAGTCATTCCAAATATAATTACAAAGCAGATCAAGTTCTGTGAAAGAGAGGTAAAGGGAGCATTGTCAGGAGGCCTGACCTAGTCTGGAGGTTGAGAAACGTTCTTCCCAAAGAAGTTATGAAAAGTTGTTAACCAGATAGGTGAGATCTAGGAATTAAGGGGCTTTTAGCCTGTGTGAAGGCTTCAAGATAGGAAGGATTACATTTTTCGAGAGCATAAGGAAGGTCCATGTGGCTAGAGCACAGGACAGCAAGGGAGAGAGGTTGACAAGGACCAGGACATGCAGGGCTTCGTAGATCATCAGGATTTTTTTCTTTATCTTGGGAGAAAAGGGGAGCCACTGAAATGTTTTAAGTAGAGAAGTCAGATTTCTGCTTTGGAAAATCACTGTGGCTGAGTAGCAGCAAGTGGATTTGACTAGGGAACAGGAAGTTACCTTGCCATTTAGTGAGTGCTGCTAACACATATCAGATAAGTTACTTCTTTTAACCCTCAAAATAATCCTGCAAGATAGGCATTGATATCTCTGTGTTACAGATGAAGGAACTGAGGGTCAGAGAGGTCAAAGAATTTGTCCTGGGCCACCAAGTGGCAGAGCCTGAATGTGAACTCAGTTGTCTGCCTCTAAGCACATGCGCTTTCTGCTCTGGCAGACTGCCCCTCCTATAGAGGGCAACACTGGCAGCCTTGCCCTAGCCAGCCAAGCAGCCCACAGGTATGTGGACATGTTCAGTCCCTGTCAACAGCGCTCACTCTCCCAGGGCTGAGCCAGTAGCAGCTTCACTGGAATCTCAGTAACTGGTAATCAAGGTTTCTCTCCATGACCTCGGCTCAGCAGCACGTCAACATTTATCATGGGCTCACTCAACTCTCACTCCCATTTTCACTCACAGCGCATGAGAGAAAATGGAATTCCAGAGCAATGTCTATCTGTTAAACTCTTACTGGCTGATCAGTCCTGGTGCAGCTGTGGCTATGCCAGCCTGGCCTGTTGACATTGTTGATTACATCCCTCCTGATCCTTAGCAGCCTTAAGTCAGCCCTTTAGGGAGAACTGCCTCGGGACTCTTTTTAAGAATAAGATTCTGTTTCTGTCTGTTGAAGAGGAGACTCCTGGCTTAGAAACCCAGTCATAGACGTGGATGGGAGAATGAGAGGACAGGAATGCATTGTCTGGGGTGGAACACCATTAAGGCGGTGTCATATTATGTCACTTATTTATTGAGATAATTTCTGAGGCATATTCTTCCTGTGTCTTTTAGCAGATATTCCCTAGAATTCTCTAAGATGACTTCACCCATTTGTTCCAGTTTTACTTATGATATTGTAGCTTATTCATTGGAAGTATGCCTTCCATGTCTGCTTTTCAGGGCTAGAGTCTACATCCGGTGTCATTGGGATCTAATCTGCCTCCTGGACAAGACAACTTTTTGGGGTTCCCATTTAGCTTAGACTGACATTGAGGAGAATACAGTTGTAGAGCTGAGTAAATAGTCATTAGCAGTCAGAAAGAATTAAAGGGCACGCACGAGAGAAGGAGATTTTTAACTAACTGAGATAGCCAATGGAACATTTTCTTCAGACATATTCAGTTGGGGGAAGTTTTGTGAAAAACACCTACAATAATAAGATACATAGATTTGAATATCTCAGACCTAAGTACAGTAAAATATGCCATATCTGAATTATCAGTACAAACAGTATTAGGATCAGTAACGTAAAAATTCACTTGAGCAGTTGGCATGTCTGAGCTTTATGAAGGGCTATGAGGTGCTTGAAAGCTAACATATGAACACAGACGATAGGAGTTTTGGATGGGTACTTTTATGTTTTTATATAACACTTTTTCTGATTATACTAAACCAAAAGAAATGGTGACCATAGAAAATTTGGAAAATACATAAAATGATTTTTAAAAATGAAAAGTCCTCTAGGATCTTACCACTTAGGAGGTAACCACTGTTAGTGTAATTTTAGCTGTGGGTGGAGGGTGGGTAATGGGTAGTGGTCCAGGAACCCCCCTAAGAGCCCATGAATGGAAAGTGGTCCATGGACTCCTTGAAATATGTGTTAATTTATGAAGTATGTATATTTTTCTGTGGAAAGATCTTCAGATTCTGAAAGGGGCTCATAACCCCATAAAACTTAAGAACATGTTTTTGTATGATTTTTTTTTTTACATTCAAACTAGAGGCAATATACTATGTGCCATTTTGTCACTTAAGCAATGGAGAGCAGAAGTTTTGGTCTGAAACTCACCCGCCCCACTTCTTCACCCGAGGGTTAACTGAAGAGCACATTTCCACAGGAGCAAGCTAGGCAGGGCCCCTCTGACTCGTGCCTGCTCCCAGAAGTACCTGTACCAGAGGAGCAGGAGGGCCCCGAGGAGCTGGTATGTCCCTTCTCTAGGGGCCTGACCCTTGAGAACTGTGTCCTTGGAGACGGCCCAGCCAGAGCACAGCCATCATGTGGTAAACCTGCTGTCTACAGCTGCATCTATATAGCCAGATAATATTTTTTCCTTCCAGGAAGAGGCCCACTGCCTCTGCCCTGCGCCCTGGGAAACCCACTGAGATAAGATAATAGTAAGGCTATGGAGGCACTGATGTGAGGAAAACAGCCTAGAATAGGAGTCTTGTGCCAGCTCAGGCCCTTGGCTAAATATCATAACTTCTCTGTGTCCCCTGTTCATCATCCATAAAATAAATGGTTTGACATTAGTGTTTTTTTCTTTAATTTTATTGAAGTATAGTTGATTTACAATGTTGTGTTAATTTCTGCTGTACAGCAAAGTGACTCAGTTATACATATATATTCTTTTTTATATTCTTTTCCATTATGGTTTATAACAGGATATTGAGTATAGTTCCCTGTGCTGTACAGTAGGACCTTGTTGTTTATCCATCCTAGATACACTAGTTTGCATCTGCTAATCCCAAACTCCCAGTCCTTCTCTCCCCCCTTGCGTCCCCCTTTGGCAGTCTGTTCTCTATGTCTGTGAGGCTCTTTCTGTTTCATAGATACGTTCATTTGTGTCATATTTTAGATTCCACATATAAGTGATACCATATGGTATTTGTCTTTCTTTTTCTGACTGATATGATAGTCTCTAGGTCCATCCACATTGCTGCAAATGGCATTATTTCATTATTTATGGCCAAGTAATATTCCATTGTATGTATGTATGTGTGTGTGTGTGTGTCTCTCTCTCTATATATATATATATAGACACACATACATACCACATCTTCTTTATCCACTCATCTGTCAATGGACATTTAGGTTGCTTCCATGTCTTGGCTATTGTAAATAGTGCTGCTATAAATATAGGGGTGCATGTATTTTTTGAATTATATTTTTGTCTGCATATATGCCCAGGAGTGGGATTGCTGGATCATATGGCAACTCAATTTTTAATTTTTTGAGGAATCTCCATACTGTTTTCCATAATGGCTGCACCAATTTACATTCCCACCAGCAGTGTAAGAGGGTTCTCTTTTCTCCACCCCCTCTCTAACATTTATTATTTGTAGACTTTTTTTTTTTAATTTTTGGCTGCATTGGGTCTTTGTCGCTGCGCGCTGGCTTTCTCTAGTTGCGGCGAGTGAGGGCTACTCTTCGTTGTGGTGCGCGGGCTTCTCATTGCGGTGGTTTGTCTTGTGGAGCAGGGGCTCTAGGCGCATGGGCTTCAGTAGTTGTGGCATGCAGGCTCAGTAGTTGTGACTCACGGGCTCTAGAGCACAGGCTCAGTAGTTGCAGCGCACGGGCTTAGTTGCTCCGCGGCATGTGGGATCTTCCCAGAACAGGGCTTGAACCCCTGTCCCCTGCATTGGCAGGTGGATTCTTAACCACTGTGCCACCAGGGAAGCCCTGGAGACTTTTTGATGATGGCCATTCTGACCATAGTGAGGTGGTACCTCGTTGTAGTTTTGATTTGCATTTCTCTAATAATTAGTGATGTTGAGCAGCTTTTCATGTGTCTATTGACCATCTGTATGTCTTCTTTGGAGAAATGTCTATTTAGGTCTTCTGGCCATTTTTCGATTGGGTTGTTTGTTTTTTTGTTACTGAGTTGTATGAGCTGTTTGTATATTTTGGAAATAAAGGCCTGTCAGTCGCATCATTTGCAAATATTTTCTCCCAGTCCATAGTTTGCCTTTTCATTCTGTTTATGGTTTCCTTTGCTGTGCAAAAGCTTGTAAGTTTGATTAGGTTCCATTTATTTATTTTTGCTTTTATTTCTATTGTTTTGGGAGACTGACCTAAGAAAACATTGGTATGATTTATGTCAGAGAATGTTTTGCCTATATTCTCTTCTAGGAGTTTTGTGGTGTCATGTCTTATATTTTTAAGTCTTTAAGCCATTTTGAGTTTATTTTCATGTATGGTTTGAGGGTATGTTCTAAAATCATTGATTTACATGTGGCTGGCTGTCCCACTTTTCCAACACCACTTGCTGAAGAGAC